AATGCACACGTTCGAGAGATGCCAAGCCTTTGTCAGCGCCATTTTCGTACCCACTTCGATCCTCCCGAGCTCTGTTCGAGGAGCACATCATCGCATACTCACAAACTGTCGGAGGCCCCCGCCGACTTCTCGGCTCGGCGCCAGGCACCCTTCCCTGGCGCGCGCAGCGCGCAGGGGAGCGGCGCCCGAGGCGCCACTGGGGGGTCCAACCCCGATCTCAGAGGTAAGCGCGGGACTCCAAACAATTACGTGTATGCAATGTGTTGTCTCTTGAGTCGGGGGTCGCCAAGGGCGCCTGTGGCCCAAGGTGCCCCCAGCTTGTCGCCCCACTTTAGAGCCCCCAGGGCCCCGTGGGCCTCGTGAGGGGTACCCTGGAGGCCGTGGGGGCCTCCTTGGAAATCCTGGGGGCACCTTGGGTCAGGGGCACTTCTGGCAACACCCGCTCGAGTTCCGATCCTCTAGACCTCTGCGTCCCCAGGGGCCTCTACATCATGGCCCTCGACGCCGCCAGACGCCGCGGAGGGTGCTGTCGGGGACGCCTGCGCGCGGCTGGGCGCGGCGGCGAACGGCGGAGGCAGGCTCGCCTCCCCCCCACTTGGGATCGAAATATACAGATCAACCTCCTTCCTCCCACCTCGCCCGCCTCTTCGCCCCTCCGGCTCCCCCTCCCCCTCCCCCTCGTCCTCCGCCTCCTCCTCCGCCTCGTCCTCCTCCGCCTCCTCCTCCTCCGCCTCCTCCCTCCACCGCCCGCCCCGTGTCCCGAGCTTGTGGCACGGTCACCAGCTCGTCGTTGTCGTTGTCGTCGTGGTCGCCGTCGTCGTGGTGGTCGTCGTCCTTCTGGGTCGGCGGCACCGGCCGTGAGGCCTTCACAATATGCAGGTCTACCTCCTTTCTCCCCTCTCCCCTCTTCTTCGCCGATGGCGTTCCTCCTTCCTGCGAGAGGGGATGAGGAACGAGGCGAGGTGGATCTCTTCCAGCACGGGGCAGGGCAGGGGGGGGGAGGGAGGAGCGAGGTGGATCTCTTCCAGCACGGGGCAGGGCAGGGGTCGCGTCGCATAGCAGCTGGTGCGAGGGCGAACTGAGCACGGGCTGGGAGGGCAAGGCAGAAGTCACTGCGCGGAGCTGCCCGTTCGTCGCGCTTTTCTCCCACAGTGGGAAAGACGAGCAGGGCGAGGAGGAGGAGGAGGAGGAGGAGGAGGAAGGCGAGGAACCGAATATAATTCGTCGTCTTAGGGACCTACGTTCGTCGAAAGAGAGGAGGAGGAGGAGCAGGAGCAGGAGGAGGAGGAGGAGGAGGAGAGGGAGGAGGAGGAGGAGGAGGAGGAGGAGGAGGAGGAGGAGGAGGAGGAGGGAGGAGGAGGAGGAGGGGGAAGGCATGTGCGATGAGAAAGACGGGGGGCTCACGCACGACGCGTACTGCCCTCCGCGAATCCCTGCCGATGCCGCGCGGCAGGGGGAGGGCCGCCTCTCACGGAGCTTGCTTGCCTACCCGCTCACGCACGACAGCGACGACGACGACGACGACGACGACGACGACGACGAGCGCCGCGGGCGCCCCGCGCCCCGGCTTCCTGAATGTTATCCTTATTGTGTGGTGTCTCACGCGCTTCGGCGCTCCTGCTGGAAGCTCTCCTCGGCCCCTGGAGCTGGAAACGCCTCCGGCGCGGTGACCTGGTCCCGTCGCTCGGAACGGCACTCGCGCCGTGGCCCGGGCTGGATCCGGCTGGGGGGTCTCGCCGTGGCCGTCCCCCTCCTGTTGCCTCCCTTGCCTCCCGCGGCTGCCGCTGATCCTGCTCCACCTCCAGTGTATCAACTCCCTCGCTGGTTGCAGAACCAACAAGGGGGGTCCACCTGCGACTGCCCATTCGGGGATGCCAGGGTCGTCTAGGACACACCCGCAATGATAAGGCATGATGCGTCTCTCGGGGGGTTAACTCGGGGGGGGGGAAGCGGCGGGTGGTGGCGGTAACGGCGGCTGCGGGAATGTTCTACGACCACGTGATGCCAGACCCTGCCCCAATACCACGTGATGCCTGCGAGCAGGACATCATGCACATGAGTGTCAGACCCTGACAATACCATCAGAGGCTGCGCGTACAACGATATGCGAGCGTGCGCTAGCAATACGCACGTGAGCCTCACACTAGCTCACGGGCGCCTCCACACGCTTGCGAAAACCAACAACCACAATGTGGTTGCGAGCACCAACGTACGCGACTGCCTGCCAGAATAAGGGCGCGCAAGTGATAGCAACAGCGTGCATGTGATCCCTGGCTGGCGATAAGAACATTGCCTGCGAACCCAGGCACGCCGCAGGCGCACTGCTGCACGCATCATGCATGTGCCCCTGTGTACATCACGTGCGCAGGCCCATACTTGCAACGCCGACACCTACACGCGTCATCACTGTGCAACAGAGATTGGGCAAGCAAGCGGAGTGACCTTCAGGCCTCCCGGCCTCCTGCGGGGATGACCTTCCAGCTACTGAGCAGCTCAAGTGTGCTACGGCCGGACCTAGGACAGAAGAGCATCCTCCAAGAACATAAAACCTTCGGCCAACCCAACGCCCCCAAACCATCACCCAAACATTCGGGTACCCCCAAACCATCACCCACACATTAGGGTACACTCCCCCAAGATGCACAATAACATCCAGCAGACACGTAGAAGCCAAGGGTTCCCTCCTCGAACCGACCTCTATCTTATAACTACCTCGGTCCGACCGTACTCCCACCATCCCTCCTCCCAGCACCGAGAGCCCGAAAACGGTGAACAATCGGAGGACCCGTTTTCCTCAGGACCCGCTTCCCCCATGACTATCAGATTTCTAAGGTGTCGAATCTAGTCCAGTGAAATCTGCAGGTCCCCGCAGAATCGCATGGAAGCAATGAGGGTGGATTGAGCACCACAATCAGCTGCGATTGCAACAGCATGTCTGTGAGTGGTTTTCGGGCGGGCGTCACTGGTACCAGTGGGTGTGAGGGGGGGGTAGCACGAATGACGCCCAGAAGGGAAAGCCAGACGCATGAGTGGGAGGGGCGATCAGGGTGTCAGATGTGACGCAGGCGTAACTGCCTTGCCTCCCTCCCCTCTCTCGTCTCCCTTCCCTCCCCAAATACTCTCCCTCCTATCCTCCACTCTCTTTGCTCCCCTCACCCCATCATCCCTTCCTGTCGCCCCCCTTGCCCCTCCAATGGCCTCGTAACCCCTGGCTCAAATCCTCATCCTCTTCTTGCCATCGCTCGGACGTACATTTCCCGGGCATGTTCCGGTTTCGTGCGTGCACTTTTGGCTGAATGATCCAGGATGCTCCTCGATGGTCCTCGCCGAGAAACGATTCACACGTCCGAGCGATACTGTCTTTTCGAGTCCCCGTCTTTTCTTGGGCCCCTGGGGGCGCGCCTGAGGCCCACGGCACGGGAATCCAGACACCACGCCCGTCTTGTTCAGCCGGAACAGCTGGCCCAGGTTGCTCGCCTCCTGAGCGCAGGGCAAACAACGTCGGTGTATAGTACAATCGAGATGCTGCTAGAAGGAACCCCAAAGAAGGAACCGGCCCCTTTTCCCATAGGCTAAACTTCGGTCTCCCATCGAGAATGAAGTCGGCCCTGTCCCCCTACAGGGGGATGTTCGACAAAAAAAAATAATAATAATAATAATAAACCCAACAATAATCAAAAAATGCTCCAAAAATAGTCCGGGGACTATTTTTTTAGTATGTTTTGACCTTTTTGGGGCATTGTTAAGGTATTTTTCAATTTTTCGTCGAAAGTCCCTCTGTAGGGGGACACGCCCGACTTAAATCGAGAACCTGAGGCAAACCTGAGACAAACTGTACGACGATCAAGGAGCACAGAGCCCATTCCCCACCAACAGGGTTCCTTCTTCGGCGGCACGACTGTATGCCAGATGGTGCGAATCTGCGCGCAGCGGAAGCCGAGTACGTGGGCAGTCGTGATGAGATGGGCGAGGATGCGAGGAGGATGAGACATAGTCAAGATCTGGAGGGAAGGTAGGGCACAGGCTCAGGGCCATGAGGCAGCAGGAGGAGCACGAGGAGGAAACAGTGAGATTGCGGAAGCTGCGAACGTGTGCGGGCTCTGGCACACGTGATACTTCCTCAGAGCGGCATCGCGCAGAGCGGGGACTCTACAGGAACAGGAGAGCAGAAGGAGAGGGGAAAGGGGGAGGAGGGAAGGAGAGCGGAGGGACAGGAGAAGGAGGGGGGCGGGGAAGGAGGGGGGGAATGAGAAAAAGAAGAGGAGCGGGGATCGATATTGGGGAGCACTGGCTGTAGTGGCGATGCATCGCCGACAGATCGGCGAGGGGCCCTCAATAGCGAAACCTCGCAGATTCCTGGGCGGGGTGGGCTGCAGGCTCCCATCGGCGACGAACAGGCGGGTAGGGCGCGGATGCTCTCTAGGTGGGGTCTGGGTAGAGGTGTTCTAGAGGCGTTCTAGATGCACGCTGAGCCTATCTAGAGGCGTTCTAGATGGGGTCCGAGTAGATGGGGTCGGAGGTTCACGCCGCATCGCCGATGCATCAGCGATGCATCGCCGATGCATCGGCGATGCATCGGCGACGTCGGCGACGCATGGGCGACGTCGACGTGGGGAAAACACGGTCTCCACATCGAGCCGAATCGTCGATGCATTGGCAATGCGGCGAAATCCTCAGACCCCATTCACTCGGACCCTATCTAGAAGGCCTAGACTATCCCCCCCTCTACCGTTGCCACTGAAGGCCTCTTGAGGCTACGGCGGCCCTTCCACCCAACCCACGCTCAGAACCCGTCCCCGGACCCCTCCTGTGTTTCATTCTCCACCCGATTTCGCTGCGGACCCAGACTGAAGGGGCTCTCTGGGACACACAAATAAGTACACACAAATAAACATATTCCGCATATTTCCTATATTTTCCGGGGTTTTGTCTCCCCCCACACTTCCCATATTTTCCCATATTCTCCTGGGGAATCGATGATCAATCGTGTCTGTGTGTTTGTTCCCCTCCTGACAGACGTGGCGACGAGAAGTCTCCAAGTGGCCCCAACGAGGCAGGGCACGCCGGGGAAAAACGGCCTCGTCTCGACGGGCCCTCCTCTGAGGGAAAGGCCCTCCGGCCTTCAGGAAGCACACGTCCGTCAGCCAGCGCGTGTTGCGAGCCTCGCCAGGCGCGTGACGGGCAGCCGGGCCGTCCGTCCGCCCAGGCCACCCAAACGTCCCCCCCAGAACTTCCTCTCTTGGACCCTCCCGAAGGTCAATCTCCAGCTCCAGCAACAAACTCCTTCACCCTATTCGCCCTTCTCCCGCCCCATCCCTCCCCGTCCTACTCGTCCTCCCCCGCCCCTTCACTCTTCACCACTAATAACCCCATCCGCTCTCCAGTTTCCCCCTCCCTTTCGAATGAACAATGCCACCCGAGAAGACCCGAATCGGTCGTTCGTACGCACAACGTTCAGGCAGCGCGGTGTGATGGTCCCAGCTGGGTGAGAGCACAGAACGTCGAACATGGTAATCCTTGACCTATGGTCTCTAATATCTACCTTATGGTTTCTACTCTGAATTCTCTACTCGATACTCTCAACTCTCACCTCTACAGGTGGTCTCTATCTCTACCTCCTCTTTCCAAATTCCACGTCCTACTCTCTACCCTATACTCTCAACTCTTCATTGTCCGCTCTTTGGCCTTGAGGGTACTTGCCATGCTGCTATGCTCACTGATTTGTTGCACTTCGCTCTCTGTTCCATGTTCAATGCTTCCTACTGTACTTTCTACACCTCTGCTCTCTCTACTCCCTCTACTCTCTCTACTACTCTGTGTAAGCTCTGACGTGGTATCCGTGGAACCTGCCTGGAAGCCCACCAGAATCAGTATGGACATGTCATCGAGAACCAGACCCAAGAACCTTTTCAACTTTGAACCCAGCGGCCCACCGAAAGAGGAGCAAGGCGAAGGTCGCCGTCCCCATGTTCCCCTTCCCAGGGGCAATAACACTGTTAGAGCCGCAACACCCAGGGGGAGCACGCGCCCTTCAGCGCACCTCCAAGGCCCTCAACGCCTCCAAATCAGCTCCCGATGCCCCCAGGATGCCAAAGATGCCCTGCAAGAACAGCTCAAGAAGGGCAGCATCACGCATGAGAGGCCTCAAAAACAACGCAAGAAAGACGACGAGACTCCAGGACATCCCACGGAGGTCCCGACATGGAACACAAACAAGCCAAAAGAATGTGGCAAACTGTGCGCTTTCAGTGTCTCCTGCTCTCGCCTGATTACTGCCATGCTCTTCAAAGGAGTAACAGGAATTCTTCTGAAGGCGCCCAGACGCCCGAAAATGCCCCAATGATTGCTGCACGTTGTCCCAGATGGCTCCCAGCCAGCTTCCAACAAGGCCCCCTGTTGGCCCCAGGGCGGCCCAATCCCGCTCCAAAATGGCCGCGAGACCCCGCAGTGATGCCCCGAGGCTCGCCACAGAACGGCGCCAAGACCCTGGACGGGACGCCAACATGAGAGGCAGGAGCAATGCCACAAACATGAACTGTCAGAGTTCTGCGCGGATAATTTCGGCGGCGGACAAACCTCCCCTGAGTAAAACCCTCCCCTGAGTCAAAACGGCCTTGGACCGAAACCGACGGACCTGGACCCGGCATAACTAACGGCCTTGACGCCGTCTCGCAAACCGAAAACGGCCCATTCGCGAATCGACGTGTCAGGATAGGAGGTTTGTCCGCCCGGCCATTCGCTAGGTCGACGTGTCGTGTCACGTGTCAACCGAAAACGGCTAATTCGCTATCCGAGAATTTGGATCGGCGCGGAAGCCACTGGCGGCGCCTCCGGCGCCGCCACCGACGCGCTCCGCGCGCCAGGAAGGGAGGGAGCCGGCGCCGAGCGAAGGGAGCCCGCGCGGCCCTCCCAGGGAATTCACGTCGGTGCAACTGCTGCTTTTTGTTCGGCGACCCTCCTCCTCCTCCTCCTCCTCCTCCTCCTCCGCGCCCGGCCCCGTCCTCACCCTTTGTCGGGTGTTGCTGGAAGAACCCCTGGCCCAAGGTGCCCCCAGGGTTCTCGGGATGGCACCCCTCACGAGGCCCAGAGGGCCCCAGGGGCTCCAAGAGGGAGCGAAGAGCTGGGGGCACCTTGGGCCAGGGGCACTTCTAGCAGCACCCGACTTTGGGGGGATAGCACCGTACGTGCCCATACCGGTGCTTCCTGGACCACTCGCACAGTGCGTTCTGACCGAGTCTTCGAGTCGAATCCACCCGTGAGCGCCAGAATCGTGCACGCTCCGTTAGAAATCCCGCCCGTGCCCATCAGGTCATGGCGTGGAGGCTGTGAACCCCAACACAGTGATATTCGGGGATGGACAGACCTCCCTTTAGTGAAACGTGGTTTAGTGAAAACGACCTGAGGCCCAAACCTGGCGGGCGCAAGCATGGAAAATAACGGCCGCGGCGCCCTCTCGAGAACCGAAAACGGACAATTCACTAATCGACATGTCACTGTTAGGGGTTCTGTCCACCCCCGAGATATGTAGGCGGACGCACGTCGTAACCACAAATCAGTGGTCCAGACGCCCGATGACCCTCGCGAGTCGTTCGAGCGGTTCTGCTCGTGCTGTCTTGCTTCGGACCCAGCCGTGGCGACGAGGGAAGGGCAGCGGTAACGGCACCGCTTTTCTTACAGTCAGCCCAGATTAGCAGGTCGACCAAGGAGGAGGAGGAGGAGGAGGAGGAGGAGGGCTCAAGGGTATCCTTGTCCTGTGCCTCGCGACACGTGCCTTCTTACACTCCTATGGCGATGTGACCCTCGGAAGGGTCTTGCGTCCTCTCGCGTGTCCTCTCCAATCAAGGCCGACTGTAGGCAACCCGCGGGCGCACACGCGAAGCGAGGGTCGGTCGATCAAGACGATCGGCCCGCCCGCCCGCGACGGAGTGAGACACCAGGCGCGGAGAGCAGCAGAAAAAAACATGATGGCATGGTCAGCAGCGCGGCCGAGGAGAGAAAGACGGACGAAAAAGCAGGTGTCTAGCCAGCCTCGAGCTTGTCGGTTGTCCCTACCCCTCAGACTGACACACCAAAAGGCGATGACAATCGTAGGGATGCGCCCTCAAGAACTGAGGGAACCCCTGAGATCGGCATCGAGACGAGGCGATGCCAATATAGGGACGGGGCTATGCATCAGGCCGGTACGTATCGGGATCTCTTTCCCCTCCGACCCCTGCCAGCCTCCCTGGCGGCCGCCGCGGGCGGGCCTCTGCACGAGCATCCTTCATCGGAGGCCCACCACAAGGTCTTGGATCGGCGCTGGACACCCCTCCCTCCCGCGAGGAGAGCGCCAGGGGCGGCGCCGCCTGGAGGGCCCCAAAACCCGCGCGGGCATCCGAGAAATTCTCTTGATGCCGTGTCTTGGTTCTTCGATTCAACTGGCGCTGTTCGCCCTGTCCTCTTTCCTGCCAACCTCCCTGGCCCAGCGCTCCCCGACCCGTCCTCTTTCCTGCCAACCAACCTGGGGAAACCAAACGGGACCGATACCGCTACTCCCCAGGCCTATATCTCTCGGGGTCCGTTCTGACCAAGAATTCCGTATCAAATCCAAGCGTGGCGACGAAGGTGCCCCAGGAGACACCGCAAAATGCGAGAACAGGAGAAGGGGTGGCGATATCGGCACCTGTCCCTGCCAGCCTCTCCCTGCTCGGCGGCGAGCAAGGGGGGTAAGTGAGAAGAAGAAGGCCTTCTCAGAAGGCGCCGGGGCTTCTCAGAAGCTCTCCAGCCTTCGGAGAGAAGTCTTCAATGTCTTCGGGGAAGGCTTAACACACTTGTCCGAAGGCCGGAGGACTTCCGAGCCTTCTGAGAATGCCCGCCCCCAGCAGCCGTCTCTCGCCCCCCTCCCCGAACAAAAACACAAGAACAAAGACGACTATGACGACGACGACGACGACGACGACGACGACGACGACGACGACGACGACGACGACGACTTCCCCTCCCCGGCTCGCCGCCGAGCTCGCCGCCGAAATAAATAACACGGCACCCTTCCCTGCCCGCCTCTCCTGGGGAAACCAACAGATACCGATACCGCTACCCCCAGACCTCTCCCAGGGCGCGTCCTGACCAAAATCTTGAGACGAATCGGGCGGTGGCGACGAGGGCCTCCCAGGAGGCTACAACGAGGAAAACGAGCCAGGGGTAACGGTATGCCCTGAGATCCGACGTTGGACAAAAAAAAACTGCGCCATCGCCCCAAAAAATCACGCCCAGAGCCCCCGGACCCCATTGAAGGGGCCCTGGGACACACAAAGAAATACACACAAATAAAAGAATTCCCCATAGTTTCCCATATTTTCTGCGTTTTTGTCTTCCCCCCACTTCCCATATTTCCCCACGTTTTCCTGGGAGTCGACGATTAATTGTGTCTGTGTGTGTTTTCCCCCTCCTGACCCATCTTCCTGCGTAATGTTTCTAGCCGGACCGATCTGTGAGGCCCGACCTGGAGCGAAGACGCCCGGCGAACAAAGATTGCAACGCCAAGACCTCTGGGTGGGTACCTTCTCTCCTCCAGTCCCTGCCCGACTCTCGTCGTCGTCGTCGTCGTCGTCGCCGCCGCCGCCGCCGCCACCGCCGCCGCCGCCGCCGTCGTCGTCGTCGTCGTCGTCGTCGTCGTCTGTTTTTGTTGGGGGGGCGAGGGGCCTCTAGACAGGCACCTCTCCCTCCCCCGACCCCTGCCTTGCCATCGCTCGGACGTCCATTTCCTGTGCATGCTTCGGTCTTGCGCGTGTTTTTTTTTGCTCGATGGTCCAGGGTGGTCCTCGATGGTTCTCGCTGAGAAAAAATGCGCACGTCCGAGCGATGCCAAGCTGCCCCCCGGCGGGCGGGCCTTGCCCCACGTCCACGCCCCGCAGCGCGGCTCGCCCTCGCAGGCCGCGCGGCACGCCCCCGCGCTCGGCACGCCGTCCACGGGCGGCAGGGCCAGGCTGCCCAGCGCGGAGCCGAGCAGGTCCACGCCCTCCTCGCGGGCGGGGCGGAGGAGGGGCGCGGAGGGGGGGCAGAGGAGGGAGGAGGGGGGGGGGGGAAAGGGAGGGGGAGGGGGAGAGGGAGGGAGGAGGGAGGAGAGGGAGGAGGACGCGGGAGGGCGCGGAGAGGGGGGGGGGGGGAGGGGGGAGAGGGAGGGGAGGGGGGGGTGGGAGGGAGGAGGGAGAGGGAGGGCGCGAAAAGGGGTGGGGGAGAGGGAGGAGGGAGATGACCCCCCCTTCGTGTCTTCGGAGGCCTCATCAGAAGAGGCCAGGACGAAGATAATTCTGGGTGGGGGTAAAAGTCGAGAGTCTCTGAGATCCGACGGGTCTGGAACCTGGAAGATGCCTCGGGCGACGCGGCCTCCTCGGGGCGTTCCGGAACGCTCTGAGAGCAATTAGGGGCCACATGCGAACCCTACCCCTACCCCCTACCCCCCCACGAGCGAACGAACGAACCCCACCCGCCCCCTCAGAAATCATGGGCGGTAGGGGTAGGGTTCGCATGTGACCCCCTAGCAATCCGAAACGCTCTGGAACGGACCAGCCCCCTCCCTGCCCTCGAAGGCCACAGGCGGAGCACGAGCGCGGGCGCCCCCCCCCCTCCAGGACCGTCCCCCTCTGGCCGTCGCGCCCTGGAGCGCGCGGCGTGCGCGGGGGGCGTCTGGGCGACGCGTCGGCGGTTGCGAGGGAAGAGGGGGATGACGGATAAGTCGGGCCTGTCCCCCTACAGGGGGATTTTCTCGAACGCGTAAACATGCCTTCGATGCGCGCTCTCGGGGCCACCCTCCTGGCACCTTCCGCCAGCTCTGCGCTCCGAGAGGCCAGCACCCCGTGCACCCCGCGCGGCGATGTTGGAAGCCCCCGCGGCGCCAGCACCCCCCCTCGCGTGCAGCACAACGCTCGGCGCGCGCCCCCGAAGGCAGAGAGTGCTCGGTGCAGCGATAGGGGCGGCTCGCCCGCGGCCCTAAACTCCCCCGGCGCGCTCCCGGAGTCGCTCGCTCCTGGTCGGAGCCCACGCGTCGCACCTCACAGCGGGGCGCGGCCGCGTGAAAAAATCCTCGCCGGAAGCCCCATACCTGCAAATGAACTCGGCGGTGGACAAACCTCCCTTTAGTAGACCTCCCCTCAGTGAAAACGGCCTGGGGCCGAAACCGACGGACCTGGACCCGCAAAATTGATCGCCGCGACGCCCTCTCGCGAACCGAAAACGGCCAATTCCTGAATCGACGTGTCAGGGTAGGAGGTCTGTCCAACCCCGATCAACGATTCTTGCTGCTCAGGGTCTGGGCTTCTTGGCCAGGGGCTCCAGGCGGAGAGAACAAGGGAACCCTGGCCCGGGGACTCTCTTCGCGGGCCGCGCTGAAGGAAGAGCGCCAGCACCGCTGCGGAAGAAACCCGCGGCTGTCCAGACAAGATGGGTACACTACAGTCGGGGCGTTGACCTAAGGAACCCTGAATGAGGAACGAGGCCCTCTGTTTTCTCCATGAGTTAAGCTTCGGTTCCCGATCGAAAACCTGAGGAACGCAGAAGGCAAACTGCGGAGCAATCATGGAACACCGAGCCCCTCTCCCACGAAAAGGGCTCCTTCTTCAGGGCCCCGACTGTAAGGCGCTCCGCGGGGGCCAAACGCATCTTCTCACGTCGCCGCTGACGCCCGAATGCGTGGCTCCACGCTCCGCGCGGCCGGAGGACATTCGAGGCACCTTCGGCGCAGCGGGGCATTCCAACAGTTTCGCTGTTGGCCTTCCGAATCCGCGCGGCTGCGAGAAATTCAGGGTGCCTCTGGCGAGGCGGGGTTTCTTCGGTGACGGGGCATTCCAACTATTTCGCTGTTGGCCCCCCGGATCCGCGCGGATGCACGGAAATTCAAGGTACCCTCGGCGCAGCGGGGTTTCTTCGGTGGCGGGGCATTCCAACAATTTCGCTGTTGGCCCTCCGAATCCGCGCGGAGACAAGAAATTCAAAATACCTTCGGCGCAGTGGGGTTTCTTCGGTGGCGGGGCATTCCGACAGCTTCGCATTTCGCCCTCCGATTTCGCGCGGGTGCAAGATACTCAGGGTACCTTCGGCGCAGTGGGGTTTCCCCGGTGGCAAGGCATCTCGACAAATTCGCCTCTGGCCCTCCGGATCGGCGCGGATGCCAGAAATTCAAGGCACCTTCGGCGCAGTGGGGTTTCTTCGGTGGCGGGGCATTCCGACAAATTCGGCTTCGCAGAATCCGTGCGGGTGCAAAAATTCAGGGCACCTTCGGCGCAGCGGGGTTTCTTCGGCGGCAGGGCGTTCCAGCAGGCTCACTCTTGGCCCTCCGAACACGCGCACAGGTAAGAAATTCAAACAAAACCTTTGGCGCAGTGGGGTTTCTTCGGCGGCAGGGCATTCCATCAATTTCGCTGTTTGCCCTCCAAATCCGCGCGGATGTACGAAATTCAACATACCTTTGGCGCAGTGGGGTTTCTTCGGTGGCGGGGCATTCCAACAATTTCGCGGTTGGCTCTCCGAATCCACGCGGGTGCACGAAATTCGGGGCACCTTCGGCGCAGCGGGGCTTCTTCGGTGGCGCGGCATTTTTACAATGTTGCCGTTGGCCCTCCGAATCCGCGCGGGTGCGCGAGATTCAAGGTAGCTTCGGCGCAATGGGTTGTTTTTCGGCGGCGGGGCTTTCCGACAATTTCGCTTCTGGCCCTCCGAATCCGCGCGGATGCAAGAATCCCGCCAGCCCTTTGGGCGTAGGTGGTTTAGGGAGTACCTTCTTCCACCCCCCCATTCTTCCCCTTCTGGGAGCGGTTTGCCCATCCCCCCTGCCCCTCCCCTGGACCTGGACGGGGGGGTTCGCGAGCGGTCAGACGGTACGTATTCGGCCAAGACGGCTGCAAGAACGCCTCAGAAAGCCCAAGGTGACCTGCAAAATGGCTCAATATATCGCAAGATGGCACAAGATGGCGTCCAAGATGGTCCAAGGGCCCCCAAAATCCGAGACTGCGCCAATAGGCCTCCGACGCCTCCAAGGAGGCCTCCAAGAAACCAACATCCTTCAAAAACCGGAAAAAACCAAGCATTTCTGCATCGTTGCCCGTTCGTTTCCGATCGCCGTCCGAGGCCTCAAGACGGTTCCAAGATGGCCCAATAGGGCTCCAAGAGGGGCCCCGTAGAGCCTCAATATGGCCCCAAGAGCGCCCAAGAGCGCTCCAATAACGCCTCCAGAAGGGTCAAGGAAGGGATCCGTGGGGCTCCCGAGGGGGGGCGCGAATTGCGACAATCCACTTATGTGATCGATGCCCTCCAAGATGGCCTCACGAGCGTCTCGAAAATACCCAAGACCGCCCCAAAAACGCTCCAAGAGGGCCCGAAGAGGCGCCAAGGAGGCCCCAAGAGGCGCCCAAGAGTTTCCGAAAGGCTCCCGGGAGGCCCCAAAAAGCGTCCCGAGGCACCCAAGACGCTCCAAGAGGCCTCCTGCACCGCTAAGAGGCTCCTACGACGCTCCAAAAGGCTTCCAAAAGACTGCCAAGAGCCATCCGAAGAGACTCTGATCGGCAACTCGCCTTGGCATCGTTGCTGAATGGGCTGGTGGGGATACTTTTTGACCGCGACCGCGGCGAGAAGGTCGGGCGGCGTAAGGGTACGAAGCGCAAAACAACAGCCTAAATCAGCGCACGAGAAGAGGGAGGCGAAAACAGGAAGAAGACGACCACGGAAGAGACCAGGCTGATGGTGATATTTTTTTGATATGCGGCCCAAAGGACGGCTCCAGAGGGCGGGTCAATCTCGACAGGGGCGCACAGAGCGGGATAATTTGCGAATCCAGCCGTCACTGTCGACAGCCGACTGCACCTGCAAGCATGCTCGCAGTTGCACATGCACAGAACAAAATGAACTAAATTCGAGGAGGCGCATCTTAGCGTCGACTGGCGGGAACGGGCGCGGGAAGAGTGCGAGGAGTCGCCGAAACGGCGCCAGCTCAACACGACGAGGGGGAGGAGGAAAGAGGCGCAGGAGGCGACGAGGGGAGGGGAGGGGACGGACGCCTCACTCACAGAGCACCTGAAGCGCTCGAAGACGGTGCGTCGGACCATGACTGGCGCCGGGGCCTAGTCGTGAGAGACCCAGCCTGCGACCTTGCCACAGCGGATGGGGGGAACGCTGCGTGAGACCGCGTGGGACCGCGTGGGACCCCGGCTGCACCACCCAGCGGAGCCTCGACCTGCCCGTGGGAGAACCGCTGGGCTGTCGTGGGCCACGTGTGCCGTGTACCGTGGAAGCGGTCGTTGGCGTCGTTGGCGCACGCGAGCAACATGTCCGTCCAGACGAAGGGGGCGATGCCACAAGCGAAGCCGGGGGCCCGAGGGACGGGCCTGCCATGTGAAGGCTCAGTCCTGTCAAAGGATGTGCCACTTGAGCCAGAATCTGGCCTCCCCAGGCCCACCCACCGGAGCCAGCGGGTGGCCGCGCCCCGCCGTGGGGAAGGTGTGACCACAGTGGATGGGGGGAAGACCTGCCAAAGGATGGACCACTTGTACAGGAACCCAGCCACCTCAGCCCACCGCGGCCAGCGGGTGAACGCATCCCGCCGCGGGGAAAGGTGTGACCAACTCGGAGCGTGCACGTGTGCGTTGCCACGATGGGGGGAAGCCGGGTGGCGTGGTACACCACCTCGGCGCGCGTGGAGGAGGGGGGAGGCGCACCCGATAGCAAATCAGGGGAGAGGGGCAACGCCGGTGGGCCAGGTGGCGGCAGTGACGGCTGGTGGTGATATGCGAAGCATCAAGAATTCAAGGTCCCTTCGGCGCAGTGGGGTTTGTTCGGTGGCGGGGCAGTCCAGCAATTCCGCCGTTGGCCCTCCGAACTCGCGCGGATGCAACAAAGAACAACGTACCTTCGGCGCAGCGGGGTTTCTTCGGCGGCGGGGCATTGTTTCCGCGAGGTGCAGTTGGGAAGAAACCCACAATCTCCTGAACGCAATAGTTTCTTGACGCCCGCGGTCAACCATCGCGGAACGTG